GGAGGGAGGGACGGAGGGAGGGAGAGGGAGACACGGTGCATGACGTTGGCGAGTGCAGGATCGGAGTGTGCCTCGTGACTTTCTCCTACTCCGGCTTCTACGAGCCGTCTGTTGTGAATGCCGTCGAAGGCCACAGCTCACTGAGATGTGCGCGCTTGCCTCATGCATTGCGTCCATGCCTGTCTTCGAAGTTTAAAGTTGACGCCGCTTTCTGGTTTGCCTGCAGCAGGCACAGTTGGGCACTTGTGATTGATTGCACGCAATGGCTTGCATGACATCCACGCATGCACGGTCTGCAATGCAAACAAAGTCGAAGCAGAAGTCGTCCCACTCCAGGCGGCCTACAGCAGCTATTCAATCTGATTTTTGCCACTTGGCTTTCCCAATGAAGCAGCAAGCTGTAAGTCTCTGAATGTGACTGCTGCCCAGGCCATCATCTCACATCGCCTTCTGGGCTTGGGACGGGGAGTAGAGCAGGCACAATGTGGGGAGAGCATACTTATAGACAGTATGGATCTGCTCATCACCACTGTTTGTTCTTTAGGCAAGCGAGACGGCGATGATTAGTATGTGATGCAGAAATTCAGAAACTGCGAGCCAGGTGCCTGTGAAATGCGCGTCCCTGCTTTTGGTATCAATCGGCTTGGCATTGTCCACCACATGCCTCCCGGCTCGGAGGGTGGTGCAAGTTCAGCTGCCACGTCTCGCCTGCACCAAATCACAACTAAGGAGTCAGCCCTGCCAATGAGCAACATCATGCAGCTGACAATGAAAGCAAAGAGAAATTCTTGAATTTCATGGCAGCCGGTTGGGCAAGACTGGCAAGCAAGAAAAAGAATAACAAAGACTAGGCTGCGTCGCGTTCTCTGTCAAAGTGCCGTCATACAGTAGAGATCATGCATAGAGAAATACGGATGCGAAACCTATTGGTGTATTTGGTGTGCCCACAAGCCACTACATAGACCGAGTGATGGACGGTACATGGAGTGTGGATGTACTCGTTGCATGTGCCTGGTAAAGTTTTGTTCTTTGAAAGCTTGCTCAAGGCCATGCAAGCGTGCTTCGTGCTTGAATGCTTGAATTCGCGAATTGCTTATCGGGGCATTGGCATTGAAAGGAGATACCATAATGTGCACGTGGAGGAGCAAGCTTTCGATCTCGCAGCCACACTTCTGAGCCAGAATGGGCCAGAGGTTGTCGCTACGAGACAAGTCTGCATGAAGAAATGCATCAAGCGGTTTGGCGGCTGTAGATGCTGATATCCATCAACACGTGTCTAGACACCGCTCTAGCGAGTCTGGTGTGCCGACAGAGGCAGACAGCTCAATACCTCTGTGTGCACATCCATTTTTGTCCAATCCAGTCAATAATTCACTGGTTACTGGTTCGAACACCTGGCTGTCTCGACCTAGAGGATATGAATCTCGAGCTCTGCTTGCAAGCACGTGGTGGGGGTGGGAGTCCGCCCGCGGATCGAGCTTGTCCTTCAAACTGGCCAGGTCCCCAAGCATCTGATTGATGTTGCGCAACACAGCCGGGTGGAAAAAGAAACACAGGAACACCCCCCCCCCCTCCACTTACGTGTCCTCCTCTTGTTTTATCGTTTTCACGGCCGGTCTGTTCCTAGAGGCCACCGGCTTTCCAGGAGCACACGGAAACTCAAAAGCTTCTCTCACAAGAAATGCTCTTTGCTTTGTTACTTGTATCAGGAAGGTGGAGGGTGTTCTGGATGACCGCGAGCACGCAGCATGCAAGAAAATCTACGACAATATTGCAAGGATCTTTTCGAGAGGAAGTAGGCAGGACCCACTTACCAGTGAAACTAACGAGACTACTAACGAGTTCCAGGCCGCCAGGTTGCATTTTGTTCTTGCAGCAAATACTCGTTCGAGAGTTTCATGTTCGTGCTGCGGGTTCTTTGCCGGCCACTACAGCATGCAATGCACAGCAGAAACGGCGGGACCCCGTTGCAGCAGCAGTGACGGCTAGTGAAGCCAGAGCTGCTCCGTGAAGTTTGCGGCGCGCTGTGAGCCTTGAGTGCTGGATGCCTTTCGCTGGTCATGACTGCCAGCACTGCCAGCATCAGCTCAACCGACTGTTTGTAGGAGTTGGCCAACAAAGCAACAACAGGTAGGAACGGCAGTTAGGTAGACAGACATTCGAGAATGACTAAAGTTTCTGCCTAAAAGTATAGGGTTCATTCGTGATTTCAGCTCGGCTTTTATTGCAGCGCACGTGTTGTTCATTTGTAAATCCTGGACCTCTACATAATCCCTGTACCGCACCACGCTTGTTGGTTGTTCAGTTTGCGGCTTCTAAGGGCCATTTGAAAGATACTTCTCGCAAGTTTTGGAACTGTGGTGTCTGATGTCGACGACATCTGGACGGAGGGCAAAATGCACAGTAGTGTCGAGAGTTCATGTGAAGAGCTCTTGGAGCGACTTGCTGGATAGGGCTGGCCATAGGCGATGACATCGAGTGGAGCACGTGCAACCCACACATTGAAGTCGTGCATGTTGGGGGTTGTCGATACGAGGCGCGGGTATGCAGTGTGTGGGGCTGAACTGCTCCACTCTATGACGACACTGGTTGGTGAGCTCCTGCAACGGGATGTTTTCCTCGCAGTGCAAGAGCTCCCGACCAGAGTTATACGCCAAGTCTTGTGACGTCATTGAGGCAGACATATTCTACTGAGACCAGAGGAACATGAGGCAGGATATGGATCAATCGTGTCCATGTGGCACTTCTTCGATTTGGTATGTAGTGCGTTGCGGCATTTCCGTCGTGGGCAATGGTGTGAGCTTGAACCGCCAGTTACTGAAAGGTAGGCAGCAACTTAAGCGCTGGTTGTGCTGTACTGGTGTGACATGGTTCGTGCGTCGTCTCAGCGACGTATATCGCGGGCTTTTCCAGCTCACTATTCTCTTCGTTGCACATGTCAATCGTGTGCCGGAAAAGGGAGGCTCAATCCTTGGACTAAATGCTAAGTGTTTCGACGCCAACCTTCGGAGGCTTGACAAGAGTAAGAGTTGTGTCACGTTGCAGGTAGCCTTGCAGTCCGTCCTCAAAGCCCATTGCTGACAGAGGCCCTCAACCCCTACCTAGCAGAACCACGCCAGCAAAACTGCTTCTGTTACTTATCATTGCTTAGGGTTGACACTGGGTCGCAACTAGCTTCACAGCAGCGGGGGGGGGAGGTCTCAGAGGCCCAGAGGAGCCACCTAAACCCTAACCCCTAAACCCTAAACCCTTAAGATCCTTAGCGAACCGGAAAAACCCTAAACCTCAGAGGAGCCCAAAAATTCGCCCCAGGCGCGCTGCACCGCTCAGGAGCGAGGCGCTCCCAGGCGCCTCTGCGAGGCCCTGAACGCGGAACCCGCCTTGAAGGTGAAGGCCGGCTGCCTTAAAGGTATTATAGCATATTAATCGTCTATTTATAGTATATTAATAGTATATTAATAGTATATTATAGCATATTAGTAGCATATTTATAGTATATTAGTAGCATACTCATAGCATATTTATAGCATATTAATAGTATATTAGTAGTAGTATATTATAGGGCTTCTGGGGCGGCTCGGGCTTTCAGGGTGATTTTTATCTTGGGACGAAGTTCAGGAGCATGTGCAGAGCGTAGCAACAGAGACGTGTCATCAGGAAAACCCGACTTGGTCGGAAGACAGCGCAGGAAGGGATCTTAGGCAGATCTCGCTTTTTTTTCCCGAAAAAATGCGACCCCGTACGACGCCCTACACTGTGTCATCGACAAGAGCAGAGAGTAGAGACACCCCAAACAGCGCGGAGCGCGGAGATGTGCGGCTCGGTGAACGGCAAAGCTTGGCAAGTCACTGGTCGTCACTACTCAGCTGCTTAGACGGACTAAGGGGCGAAGGTGCCGTGTGGCCTGTTCGGTAGAAGTGTCAGTGGTTGACGCTCCGCATGCTTCTTGCGATGTGGGAAGGGCCACCTAAGCAAAATCGGGGAGCAAATCTTGGTGCAGGGCACAATCCCGTCCGTTCCACCTCCCTTCTTGGGAACTGTGATCTGGTTATTCACTTGCCGAGGACGCCAGCAACGAGCGTTTGATCCAGCTTCACCTACGTCTGACGACGGCCTGGGCCCGATTCGTGTTTGTTGATGCATGCGGAGTGCACGAATGTGCATCTGGGACCCGGAAGCTCATGCGGGACAAAAATTACAGGTGGCTTCGTACGCGGAGCTCCAGGGCTTCGTCCGTCGTTGGCCAGGCATGTGGAAGTACCGTGCATCCCACACTTGATTCTCACAGATGTTGACCAGAGTCCGGAGTCCCTCAGCATTGGCGATGCTGCGAACATGGGGTCGAACTGCATTTCCTGAAGGCACTGCTTGCGCCGTAGCGGCCCCGACCTCAGTTTCTTGTAGATCCAGAGACGAGAGCCCCACCCAAGTACTGCACCACAGAGCGATTCAAGACATGTCTCGTGCAGTTTGCTTTGATTCGGCGTGACTCGTGCCACAATCAGGCTGTAGGCCTTGGCGGTGCAGACCGGAACGTGCAATTTGCTGCGGTCTTCCGGGAGGCCGACATAAACTGTACCACCACCTCCGTGGTTTCCTGCACAGATGGACAGGCTTACGGAGACCGCGACGTTTTAGTGGCAAAGACTCGCGCAAAAGCTTACGGTCCCTTGGCTGCTGCTAAAGCTGCTACAGACAACCCAAGGAGCCTGAAGGGCGCTTTGCACTCACAGGCAGGGCGCTGCTTTCATTTCTAAACACTGCATCGAGGCGGCTTTGTTGAGGCATGAACTGCCGGCATATGCATGCATATGCTAGATGGGATGTTTGAGAATCCTAGGTGGCGTGGGACCTTTGCACATGCCCGGCTCTTGGATTTCGTTTGACTTGCCCTGCATTCATCGGAGGTTCGAGCCCGAGATCAGGGACAATTGAGTAGGGTTTTCACGCATATGCTTGCCCAGTTTGTGGACTGCCCCAAAACTTTGCCGACACTGCTGCATGAAATGTTTTTTACAAACTCGGCCCATGTCCTCGGACAGGCTCGAATCTGTCGCAGCAAAAAGCGGGTCTGTTCGTACCTCCTGCCATGTCAACAACACGCAACATGTTCGCTCCTAGCTGCAGCGGGCAGTCTGCGCGATTGAGCATTTCGATCCCAGAGGACTCAGGTAGCTTGGAAGACGGCTCGGAGATGCACTATCCACCTGAGGCTGTGCAAATCAGGAATACGTTTATACATATTGCAAGCCCAGCCGCTCCCGAGGTCGCAAACCGGGCAGCATTGTCGTGTCCTGCTTCCCATGTCGGACTGATCCAACGGACAATGAAGGACTGGCAGGACGACGCAAAAGAAGCGAATGGAAAGCCAGTCATATGCTTGGAGGATGCTCTTTGCAGTGGCACGAATGGTTGGACAGCTGAGCCCGCTGCTGACATTCAGGCTGGCTGGCAGTGCCCCATACAAGACTGGCAACTGGAGCCGCCAATACCAGCTCCGCTTGAGCTAGCACCGGGAACATCGGAACTTCCCAGCATCGGGTCCAGTGGACACTACACAGGAGACTGCAAGCCGTGCTCTTTTCTGTATGCTGCACAGGGCTGCAGAAACGGTGCCATGTGCACGTTTTGTCACCTGTGTGACAAAAGTGAGAAGAAGCGGCGACAAAAACTAATGAGAGCCGCTCTGAACAAATGCCAAGCTGACTGATGCGAAGCACGCGTCTGCAGGAAAAGGTGGGCGACTGCCCTTGCCAGAGCTCCCGCTGACTCACTATGCAGTTCTTTGAGATCACAGCGAACCAGCTGCTACTCATGAACGTCTGTGGTGTCATGTTCACATGGCCTTTGCTTCACACGTCGTTTTTTGATATCTCCAGCAGCACAGTGCCTGCATGGGGAGTTTTCTGAGGCTCATGTCACAGTACTGTCGGTACACTGTACAGAACTCACCAGCGTTCCGAGACTGAAGCGTCACAAGGCGCGGCATCACAGCCTAACACGACATTTGCAACGCAACTAATTCATGTCATTTCGTTCTCTTGGCCTGAAGCGCCAGAGGCTGTCCGACAAAGGGTCGCAGCTGCAAAGCCCAATTTAATTCCCTTGACGTTGATCGCCACAAGGAAAATCACGACCGTGACATTCCGCAACGAAGCAGCAACAGTGCCCGCATGGCCCAGGTTTGCAGAAGCCGATTTCCATGGTGCAGTGGTGCTTGAGCCTGCTATCGTGTCTGCCTCAGACCTGACAGATCATGATTGGCATCCTGTTGACAGCTTTCAATGTGAACGCTGCGGAACCGAAATAGTGCTGTGGAGGAGCATGTTCTGAAGTACGAGCCCGAGGCCAACGTCATGATTGCTCTGTGCCTAGCAATTTGTCCGTGTATTCGGACTTACTCTCGCAGCAAACACGCAGCATCATCGGCAGCGCGTAGCCGAGGAGTTGAAATCTCCGCCTCAGCCGAACCCTCGAAGTCTGCAACAGCGACAGGGTCTCTCAGATGGCTCAATGTCTGGATAGCAGCGGCTACAGCAGGACACGTATTAGTTGGATGAGGCTTACAGGTTTCTCCGTAGTTAATTTGACTCAAACTGGTATCTCGACGCACATGCAGCTGCCTGAACTTCGTTTTGCTTTTTGAGGTGTCCGGAATTCGAAAAGTCGGCGGTGGCTTTCGACGCGGAGGCCAGAGTGCACACCATCGATCTTTGGTCATGTAATGGCACCCCCTTCCTGCGTTCTTGGCATTAGGCTGCAGCACACTGACGTGGCACAGCCAATATCAGCCGATGAAATAGCATGTAATCGATGCAGCAGAGGATCGAGTACAAGGATAGGTGGTCTCTGCAACTTCTATGTTTGTGACAGGCTGCACTTTCATCCCGGGCACTGTGCGCGGCTGCTGCTCTGGCCCCTCGTGGTGACGGCCCGTCAGGCCTTCATAGAAGAGTACCATGTAAGCAGAAAACATTCTCGCGCGAGTGCATGGAAAGCTGATGCTTGCCTTGCCTCCGTTCCTTTGCAGCCTCCTGCTTGCTCGCGAAAGAGCTGATGGTCCGCCATCCCACTGTTGCAACCTGAGACATTCAGATTGAGTTTCTTGGTCTCTTGCAGCATTTCCCGAAACCACAAGCACCATGGCTCAGGCACCGGACATCCAGACTGCCGGCTGCAAAGTGCCAGGGATCCAAGATGCTCGAGAAGTGAGCCACGACTGCTTTGCGACCTTCGTGCATTGATGTCCTGAAGCCTCCGAGCTTTGTTTCAAGTTTCCTGTCTCCGCAGCTTGAGTGGCCCAAGCACGTTTTGCCGCGATGCCTGTGGAGCTCGCGCCAGTGATGGTGGGAACAGAGGCCGCATCCGGCGTGCATGAAGGCCAAAGCTTGCAAGCCACCGTTCAAGCTGGCTGGTGTGAGAAGGGATGCCGTCATGAATCGCCCACAGGCCGTGAAAGCATAGATCCTGACGAGGAGGCTCAGGCAGGCTTCGGAAAATCACGAGGAACACGAGAGATCATGTAGTAGTGCAACCCGGCGCAAGCACTCCGAGAATCCTCAGATTGAGCTTGCAACAGGTTGAGAAGCAGCTTCTGGCGAAGGCTGTGGAACAAAGATCACGTAGATAAGTTGCAGAAGCCGGATTCAGCGCCAGAGTCAGTGCCTTTGCACACGATCCGGAACGAATCAAGACGTCTTTTGCCGCTGTTGAAGAGCTTGTGTCGGCCACATTCCCGGAGCCAGGCACGACAAGTGCCATTGCAGCCCGACTACTTCACTGGTGGACCCGACGCACCAGCAACTTGTCATGTGCCGCGCTACATCTACGGTCGGTCTTTGCATAGTGGCATAGTGGCGTTGTAGGTTGCATTGGGTCGCATCGCAATGGGTGTCAAGCAGCTAGCCGGGCCTTCCGGTTTTCCAGATGGTTGGCACCGACCACAGGATGCACTTTCGATGTCACTCGATGCTCAACCCAAGGCAAAAATCGGAAGAATTCACTTGCTCCGGTGTTTCGGCCGAACAGCGTACATTGGGCCACATTGGCCTTGCATCTCAGCTGTATGCTTGACCCCTTGTGGGATTCCCACAATCCCACACACTTCCCAGAGCCTGGCATGACACGATCGATCCGAGGTTCCATCATCATGCTGGCAGCTCCTCAGCTGCAGATAAAACACCTGGACACTTCTTCGTGAGCAGAGTCAGCTCCGCGCTTGAGGTTTTGGTATTGTTATTGCAGAAACTCCTGGCCTGAAGGTCATTTTGGGCATCGGCAGCTCCTTTGTCATGTGCTCTCAATGGGCAAACTGGTTGTCAAAGTGCTTGCCAGTGCCTGGGAGGTACCATACAGCAAGAGCCAGCTTGTCTTCAGCTCAGCTTCATCCTTCATCTTGATTGCTAACAAGAGGTTCCCAGAAAGCTACATAGCTTGTGTCGGTCTCGACTGCTCCGTTGTCCGAAAGAGCCAGTCCCTAAAGTCGTTTTCTGGTTCCTGGTGGTGCATTGTCAGTCGAGACAATTCCAATCTCTACTGTGCCAGGTTGCTTTGCATGCTTCTGAAGTGAACATGTGGAGTTCTGCCCAGTGAGCGCAGCCTGCCAGCCGGAGCTTGTGCCGAGGCTACACTCTGGTCTAGGCGTTCTGGCAACCGTTGGCTCCGCAATCTCATTTTTATGCTGTGCCGTTTCGAACCTTGGCTGAATGATCTGCTCGCACATCCATGTCCTGGGTAGGTTTCAACGCGCCACTGCCATTGAACGCATACCCACGTTGAAGCGAGCTACTTAGTCCCAAGCTTCGTCATCCGAAGCACAGGAGCCCTGGAATTCTGCAGCCGCGGCCCGGGAGCAAGGGAGGTGGGGGAGATGGGGTAGCAGTGGGGATTCTCACATTGCCTTGCTCTGCCAGGTCCAGGAGAGCCAGAGCAGTACTTCGCTTCAAACGGGAAGAGGCATTGCACAGTGGCTCGGGCTGCTTTCACCATTGCCTTTCTCCTCGGATCACCGGCAGCCAAGGCGTGCAACATCAAGCAGCCAGTCGGTACTCTTCACTGTGATTATTGCCATGTTTGCACTGGCCTCAAGCCCTTGCACCAAGAGCTTCCTCCGCTTGGTTGCTCGGAGCGCTGGCGCATGTGTCCACATCCGAGGTATTGTCGGCTGGGATCATCACTGTCCCTGGATGAACAAGTGTATCGGTCGACTTCTCAGAAATCGACTAACTAGACTTCTCCTCACTAAGTGAGGAGAGCCTTGCAGAATGTAGTTTCACAGTGCGGTGTGGACCCAAGGAGAGAGCAACCTCTTCTTCTTCAACTCCTTTCTTGGCATCAGCATGACCTCTTTAGGTTACATCGTCCTCGCTACGATGTTGATTTCCTAGCTCGCAACGTATTACAACCTTTGATTCAGTTGTCATTGGGTTTGAGGAGCGCGCCGCCCTCGACTCAAGTAGCTCAAGCGGATCCAAAAAGGTGTCCAGCTTGAGCCTTTGTTTCTGGATAGTCGCAGGGAGATTGCCAGGCTTGCCTTGCTTGGCTTCGCCCCAGCAGGAAACACAATACTGTCGCTGCCTGAACGGCTGAGCTCCAGGCAGACGTTAGGTTTAGAGATGCCCTGTCCCGAAGTCCCGGACAAAAAGGGGGGCCGACTGCGTTTGGGACACATCGAAGGTGACAAGATACCTCTGTCAGCAAGGTTGGGAAGTTGGCTCCGCGGCTGTCAGTCTTCCTTCTCTGACTACCAAGCCTTTGGAACTGTGGAGGCCGTGGGAACCTGGGTAAATTAGACTCATGACATGATATTTTACACCGGTGACGGGTTCAAAGTCTACCGCTGTGTTTTGCATATTCTGGGAATATGAGGGAATGCGAATGTGTGGGTGATGAGGAAGATAATAACACTTTTGATGCACCGGGCTGCTGTAATTTGTGGAAGTTGCTTGTGTTTCTGTCAAGATAAGAAAGGGCTTTTGGAGTTCCATCCATGTGCATGTGTGTGTGTGTATGCAGTCCTGACTGTGTCTTGTTTGCAGAAGCCGAAAGTTGCATGGCTGGTCATCACAGCGTTCACTNNTACTAAAGGTTGCTGTGAATGGGACGCATCAATGAGACTCACACATTTTTTGGGAGCTCTCAACTCCAACAAGCAGAGAACCACTTGCTGCAGGAAGAACTGTGTGGGTCTACTGCTTCTAAATGCAGCTGCTCCCATCGAAATGGAAAAGGGCATGAGGAATTTGGGGCTGCAATAGGTCGGAGAGTCGGATTCTGCCATAGGAAAACAAAACAACAACAATTTGAACGTGTCAAGTTCGAATCGACACATGGGGAAGCTGGATCAAAACAAAGGGTCTGGAAATGCATGGGTTGAATTGAAACCCGAAAAATTGGCTAAGGCTCCGCAGGTGTGAACATGGAGGAAGCTGAATCCAAGCACGGTACACGGTTTAAGTCTTTTCGTGAAAATACAAAACAGCACTAGGTTTGTTTTAACAAGGCTGTGTTCAGTAAGTTTTCGAACAATACGTTTGAAGGGAAATGGATGTGTTGACAGTTAAGAACGAAATGGTCCAAAAATAAACTCGGCTTTAGAGTTCAATCTCCAACCTTGAATCTTTATTTGCATCTCCTTTTTCCAGTGCTTCTCTTGGGTGCAAACATGTAAAAAAGATACATTCGCTAACTTGCATGTTTTTGCAAAATCTGTTTTTTCTTTTCAATCGTTGATCCGTTGATCATTTGCTGGATCTTTAAGAAAGCAAGTAGAAGTAGAACTTAGCTGGAGTGGCTTCCTCCCGTACGCAATTTTACAGAGGGATTCCAGCGCAAGTCACCGGATGTTTGTTCATTCGCTTCTGCAGATGACGAAATTCGAACATATAGTTGCATGGAAACATTGCAGTCAATCTTGTGGACACACAGCTACACAAGTCCATTTCTTCATGTGGAAGAAGCTTGAACGGCTTTTAGACCTGTTGTCCTTCTGTTTTGTTTGTTTGCATGTCTCTCGACTTTCTCTCATTGCTGCAACTGCAACAAGCAAGCTAAGTTCTTACCATGGAGACTGTTTCCACAGTCTGGTCTTCCTCTTCGAGTTCGAACTTGAAGTTTCCGAGTTTGAACTTGGACTTTAGTTTTCGAATCTAGAGATCGAATGTAGATCACTTTGGAACTCACATTCGACCTAAGGTTGAAGGCGAAAACAATTTCTCTGGCGCTAGAGTGGCTCCAATAATCTTTTGATGTTTGCTGCTTCTCGTTTTCCAGGCTTATGCAGGTGCTTGTTTCTAAGAGTGGTTGAATGTCGAACAGTCGAATAGAAATATTGCGAAGACTCGCAGAAAACGACAAAGAGTTCTCGCTTCCTGAAGGGCAACAAGTCCAGCAAGCCGTTCGAGCCAAGACTTGTTCGGCGAGATGTTTTTCAGAAATCGAAGCCGCAGAACCTGCGAAAACCACGTCGAAGTGCTTGCATGGCTTACAACACCCAGCTCATTTTTTGAAAGCAAAATGGAGGTTCTGCATAAACTTGCCTGGCTAATGTTGGGGGGAGATCCAGCAGACCGCTCTCACAGTGTCGAGCAGTTCGCTGCACTCGTACCGCCTGAATCCATAGCAAAACTTGTTGAGAGGCAACAAGCTTGTGAGCTGCTGCCGACTGTCATTGGTCTTTGGGGCCATGCTGTTTGCTTTCCCTGCTTAAGAGTATGGGGTAAGCACGAGAAGGTTTGGTTTTAGTTTACGAATCCAGGGTTTAGGCTTTAAGGAGACAGTTCGGCAAAGTCATGCGGGCCAACTAGCTTCAAAGGTACCGAAACAATGTTTTTTTGGGTGTTGTGTTTTGTGTTTTTTTTGTTTTGGTGTTTTTTGTTTTGTTAACGGGAAAGGGTTGCTGTGTTGTGTAGGGGTTGACAGCGATGTCGTCCAAGAGGCGTACCTGAACTTCCGGAAACGCATCGGGAGAGTTTGACAACCGAACCTCTACACCAAACCATTGCGGCTTGCTTGGTCACAAAGCTTCTGCAATAAGAACTGGCCCATCCGTTGAAGAATACCGCAGTCACACCGCCACAGCAAGCGCCACGAATTTCGGGAATGGATCCCACTTTCCTGATTTGAATCCTGCGAGCCTGAAACAGGAGGGGTGGCGCTAGTTGGCTGGCACTGTAGGCTCTTCGCGATTTTCGTGGATTCCCTCGAGAGTCAGGCAGTCGCAGCTGCGATGCGAAGACACAGTGCCAATGCGCGCTTGCAAGAGGCAGCCTGCATGCAACACTTGTTCTCAGATGTTGCAGACAAGGGTGGGTTTCCAGTGATACAGGGCCGACCCTCTCCAACGCCAAGGCATGCAGACGTCTGTTAGAAACCAAGGCTGCCGCCTCGGCCCTGAGTTCCGCTGCGTCCTGGCCAGCCATGCAAGCAGTCGATGCCTGAGTCCCGAGTCCCACCTCGGAACTTCTTGTGCTTGACGGAGTTATGGAGTTTGGAGCTTTGTATCCATTCATTGGATCTTTCCCACACGCCAGCGTTAGCAGCGACTGCAGCTGGACATACCTTGAAAACAGGCTGCAACCAACAACGGTGCCACGGAGGAGATTGTCTCCGCTGACGGCCTAGCCCATGCGAGAGAATTCCTGAACTGAAGTTTCGTAAGCAGCTTAATTGTGCTGTGTTTGGGTCATGACAGCTCAAAGTTGGATGTGAAGAGCAAGCCTTCCGGTATGCCATGGTTTCCTAGTAATCCTACTTTGGAGCTCCTTTGGTTGTGCTCCTTTTTGGCGAATCTGAGGCGATGCGCCGATTCCCTACCGACCCGGAGTTCCGGTCCCAGGGCCATGTCATCGTCGCTTCAGATGTGTGGAGCTGTTGTCTTGTTAGGATGTACCACACAACTGCCACTATGCCAGTACTTAGAGAGGAGTTGCTATAGAAACATGCCGAGTACGAACAGACTTCATGATCGACCGAGTCTTCTGGGGCAGTCCTTTTGTGCGGCTCGAATCCAATGCGAGCTCAGCTTACTTTTTAAGCGGGCACTACGCATTTTGCGCAGAGGCCTGCTTTGATTCATCCGGTAAGCGATTTATTCACGCAACCTTATACTAGGACGCTGCCATGCTGCAGCGTGACCTCGAGCCGGCAGCTTGTTCTGCCGGCTGTTCCATATTCATTCCTGGATCGCGCAGATGCCGCAATCTGGGCCGTTTTGGCATTTGCAGACAAGCTTGGATTGAAAATGGCCAGAAGAAAGGCCGTGGCCGCCGTGGCTTGAAAGCGCTTTTCAACAGGTGCCTGCTGCTCTGGCTTGCTGATGGAGCTCTGAAGGCGGCAGCTGCGCACGTCGATACCGCGGCGCCTGCCGCGCGAACACGCTCACTGCTGAGTCTTCATCACCTCACATCGAAGCGACAGCCAGGCGACAGAACTGACATTTCCAGCGCAGCAGGGACCCGCCTTGCAGTCAGCGAATCCAAGCTGTGCGCTTTGGCAGATGATACTCAGCTTCTCGACTCGTACGCAAGCGCTGACTGCAACGTGTCTGCTGCGCCTGCGGCAGCCAAGGCGCGACTTTTTTTGGTCTCACCCAAACCCGAGACTCGACTGCAGGGCCTAAACTTTCCGGCTCGACTCGAAGGAAGAACTTTAACCTGTATACTTCTTATCCAACACTGACTTCTAACATTGAACAAGAGGCCGTGCGGATGGAGCCGAACACCCGCGAGGGGCGTATCACAATAGACCTGGAGCGATCGGAGCAGGAGATCCATGTCCTGGAAGATGCCATCCACTACAAGAGCAACCTGGCGAAGACATCTTCTCGTATTCTGTGTTGCTGTGTGTGTGTGTGTGATTATTTAGTTGGCGCATTCCCTCTGCATCTTTAGACATGACACTTCAACCCGAGGCGCCTATTACGGCACGATTATGGTGGGTACACCGCCCAAGCCCTTCACGGTGGTCTTCGATACGGGAAGCGGACACCTGATCTTGCCGAGCTCGTATTGTCATTCCAGCACATGCAACTCAGTTTCCTAAAGTTCCTAAAGGATGTGTTCTTTCATTTTTCAGTTGAGGAGTCGATGCATTGCAAAAGTGGCACTGCTGCAGGTATAACCCTGCAGGCTTAGTACTTAGTAAACTGTATCAGGCAAAGCTCACAGACGCTACAGACGGAGCTCTTCTGCCACAGCACGTGACACATTTCTTCGGAGTTGGAAATCATTTTCATTCGTGCAAGTCTGAGTCTAAGGCCCTATAACTGCACCACTACTGCTAGCACCAATTGCAGCAACCCTTGCTAGAAGGATGAGGCTAACCCTTGCATACATAAAAAATTCCAATGTCGATAGCGTAAGGACATAGACTGGGACGGGCGTCTCGTCCAGATGGGCGAAGCCAGGGATCAGATCACCGTGTCCTTCGGTACAGGAGAAGTAATGGGCGTTTTTCTGGAAGACTTGCTTTGCTTGGGCCGTGGCGGTGACGGCCATGGAGAAGGCCAAGAGAATTGCCTGCAAATGCGGTTCATAGCTGCAACTGACATGTCGGCAGACCCGTTTGCAGAGTTTGTTTTTGATGGCGTCTTGGGCCTCGGCTTGGAGAGCCTGTCGCAATCACCGGCCTTCAACTTCCTGCATGCGCTGCACGTTGAGTCTACTCTGACAGCTGAAAAGGGCAGCTTCAGCAAGACTTTCGGAATCTTCCTGGCGAGCCATGATGGGGAAACCAGCCAGATCACCCTGGGTGGTTGGGCTGAAGAACATGTGAGTGGGGAAATAACTTGGAGCCCCGTCCTCCAGCCAGAGTTGGGGCGTTGGCTTTTGGAGATCAAAGGTCTGTGGGTGGATGGCCAGGAGGTGCCTTTCTGCAAGGAAGGCTGCAAAGCCGTCGTCGATTCTGGCACCTCAGTTCTGTCTGTGCCCAGCCCTTTGTTCAGTGACCTCTTCCAAAAGTTGTCTGCTCCGGCTCGAGACGGTAGCTGCTCTGAAGGTCCGCAGCTTCAGATGGAATTGGATGGTTCGAGTTTGAACCTGAGTGTCGGCGATTTTAGCCGCCTGGACAAAGAGTCATCGCCCTCAGCTCAAGCTACCTGCAGGCCCATGTTAATGGTCATGGACTTGCCAGAGCCTTTGGGACCCAAGCTTTTCGTCCTGGGGGAGCCCATCCTGAAAAAATTCTACACCATCTACGATGCGGAGGCCCGACGTGTCGGTTTTGGCCGAGCTCGTCACGCACAAAGCCCTGAGACGCCTCATCCTCCCTCCAAGAGAGGGTCCAGAGGGGAAGCCAAGCCGGCACCTTTGGAAAGAAGGGGCGCGTCTGTCGTGAGGCCCGTAGGCAGGCGATCTAGGTCTCTCTAGCCTCGAGAGAGAGACTTCGACCGCAAGTATAGTAGTTGTAGGCGTAGATGCTAATTAGCACATGAAGCACGCAGCCTCAATAGTAAAGATGTTTGCGAGCTCTGCATGGAAGAAAAGCCTCGTGCGGTAAGCAGCAGGGGTGTCGGATGCCTTCGGACTTTTTAGCGCCTGCCTTGTTGAATATTTGAATCCATGGCCTCCAAGCAAGCGAGCAGTCACCCGCTCTTTCGTTTGACCAAGGCTCCTGGCGGCAGCATGCAGTGGTTTAGCAGGTGCGCTCAAATGTCACAGTGAAGAAATCGGGAGAGCGCTGCTGCTGAGAAGTCTCCAGCTTCGAGGTGTTGGGGCTCTAAGTGATTTATGATCATTTCCTACATATCAGCGAGAACTCCACGCAGGTCTGGCTGCAAATCATCCTCTGAACCAGCCCGGCTCCCAAGGATTTGATCACTAGATCCAAGCCGTTTGCACTGTCCCATCTTGAGTCGCTTAAGCTCGCAGCAGCGTCTTCGAACTATCCCAGCCCAGGTCTGCCCTTCTCGGCTGTCGCTCCATTGAGGCCAAGATCAGTGCTGGGTTCTTCGGGCCTTGCAGCCACTCACTCTCTATTTCCCCTTCTCGTGGAAGGTGATCGTTTCTGCCATGGATGCTTTCGTGCACCATGATGCGAACTCAGAGTCATCAGTCTTTTCCGCTCGTATAGAACACATAGGCTCGCTGTCGCCAGCAGCTCGCAGTGCAAGGGTCGTCGGAGCGGAAGCCGAGGCTCGGCTGCAGACCATGGCCTGCGGAGCCCTTGGAAACCTCGCGGCAAACAGCCCGAACAACCAGGTGGGCAGCAGAAAGAGCAGCGAAGCAGTTCACTGTGAGGAAGCCCCACAGTGCAGTTGCAATCTGCTGTCGCGCTCCTGGGTTGAAGAATCGGAGGAAACAGACACATTGGGCTGTACACTCTGTAAACGGTAGTCTTCGTGATGACAGGCTGCCATTGCTTCCCGAGGAGGTTTGCAAAGGGTCTGATCCTCAAGACGTACGAGCAGCTGCATGGTCGAAAAGGTTTGGAGCTGCCTCCAACATGATGTCACCATGCCTATTTTGTCAGCAATGCTGAGGTGGTAAACGTGCTGAAACACCATCAATCGAATCCGGTTGTTTGGGGCTCAGATGTTGCCGTGTCATGCGTGCACCAAGCAGCACTGCCGGCACAACGTTAATCTTGACATGCTGTTTCTTGTGCGGATGTGCCGTTTCCTTACTCCCTTGCCGCAGAGTCCTCTCGTAATCAGCCCATTGTGCACATGGCGCACGGGCAGTGCGCTCGCGTCTTGCAGCCTTTACACAAACGTTGTCTTGCACAATCGGTTTTTGGCCCAGGTTCTGGCAGCGTCTCTTGGGGTCGTGAGCTTATGGGCAGAATTCTTTTCTTTCTGGGGCTCTGGGGGAGCAACATGTGAACGGCTACCACTACGGCATGTGGATACGATGTGACGATGTGAAAGGAGGGAGAGGAGAATTACAAAAATTCGGCCTAGCAGCACCAGTAGCAGTAGCAATAGCAGTAGCAGTAGCGGTAGGAGTAGGACTAGGACTAGGACTAGGACTAGGACTAGGACTAGGACTAGGAGTAGTAGTAGTAGTAGTAGAAGTAGTAGTAGAAGTAGTAGTAGTAGTAGTAGTAGTAGAAGTAGAAGTAGAAGTAGAAGTAGAAGTAGAGACAGCAGACCGTTTTTTTCGCCACTTAACATAACTGAAGCATTGAACCCTGTTTTGCTTTGTACTGTACAGAAGCTGGCCGTGATGCTTCTGGATTCGGACCGGAGGATCCTGCCGGATGCTGCAACCAGAAGTAGAGGCATGCGATACGCACACATACACACAGACAGACAAAGTAAGAAATCGATGATGACGAAGAAGATAAGACATAGAGTGTGTTTGCACGTGCGTTGTGCCTGCGGGTGAGAACCGTCAAGTCCATGCTAGGAAATCGAAGCTGAGGCTGTTTGGTGCCTGATGAAGCAGCACCTTGCCAATACAGAAATGGCTGCGCAACTAGGACCGCCCGAGCTCTTGCGCTTTGCCTCTGCTCACTGGCTGCTCCGCGGTCTGCCTCAAGATCTCGGAAGGAGTGGCAGAACTTTCAGCTGCAGCGCTGCAGACCCTCGGATGCATCCACATCCGCGAGAGTCACTACTGCAGAGCATGCGTTGCATGGTCCGGATATGTCGGAGTCGGAGTCTTCGCCATGCTGACGCCTGGGCGTTTCAATTCGTCGGCTTGCTCAGGCGCCACCCGGAAGAGCGAGGAGTGCGCAGCATGGCGTGCAGGAGCTCAGATGGCCGCCGCAATCTCTAGTATTATACTCCGTAGAAGGAACGGTACTGGGTGCATGGCATACTCTGCAAACAAGACTAAGACTTCCTGGCTATCCGTTGAAGTTCAAAGCTGGGCAAACCACAGGCCGGTGCACAAGGTCACGGATCTGGTGCGCTTCACTGTTCAACGCGCATGAACTGCCAATGCTTACCAGCCATGAACCAGCAATCGGTAACGCTTCAAGCTTGCATCGGCTTGACCGGGAAACATTGACGGAGCTGTCAATCGTGTCATCTTCAGCTGCTGTGGAGCAGTCAGTTTTGACATCAGTCTTCAGCTCGGACTAGCTGGGAGGAGGCTAAAATTCCACGCGTTCGACGGTTTGTTTTTTTCTCGACAGCTTTATCTTTGCCGGACAGTTATTATTCTTCGTTCCCGTGAACTCCCCATAGCTTTTGAGCTGAGGTCCTGTGTCTTGCAGTCGCTGGTTCCAGGATTGTCGGAGGCTTCATCCATTCTCGCATGCTGAATGTTGATGTAGGAGGTGCTTGCCCGAGTTCGGGGCCGCATGCCAATGCACTATCGCGGGCTGATTCACATCCAACTGCTTCCAACTCACTTCCATTCAGCTGCCAGGCACTCGCCGTCTCAAGCTCAGATGTACTTCGGCACAGCGTGTCAGCGGCAGTTGAGTCTTCGAGCATACACGGAAACGACCCAATGCAAAGCCTGGCGTAACGTCGCTTCGCCTGGCTTGCTCGCCAGCAACTTCGAGCCCCTTCTGCCACCACACTGCGCAGACGAAGACTACATGTACTAGCAGCTGTTAGCTTTAGGACTTTCGGAGGCTTCAGCACAGATGCTAGGTCGCACTTGCAGCAGCCCAACCTCACGAACGCACCCAAAAAGCACAATGCTCTATGTCATAAATTCTGGACCGTCGTGGTGCGCATTCATGAATTCCGCGTCCAGTGCCCCAGCGCGGCTTTCAGACAGCAGCCATGATGCACTCCAGCTGCTTGGCTTGGTGCCATTTGGTGCCCTCTACAACGTTCAGCTGGGTTGAAGTGTTTCGAAAGTTTGCTGAACTGTATCTTCCGTGGGTGCTGCTGCCTTTGCGGAACGTTGTCGGTTGTTGCCATACGGCACGACTGCCGTGCTTTGCTCGCCCAGGAAACTGCAGCAAGATGTGGAGAGAATACTGCACGAGAGCCGCTCAGTTGAAGTGTCATTGCCTTCGGCACTGTGGCCGGCACAAGTGCAAAACTTGACCGGCACTGCCTTCTTCCAGTTCTTTGAGATGTGGCCCATGACCTATACTGTAGGCAAGCGCGATCTCCTGCGCAGTTGCTTGGCAAGCTGATTTTTGTGCACAGACAATTCAGACAATGTGTCAGACTGACAAGATGTGGACAATGTCAGATGCATGTCAAATACATCCACCCAAGGTACTGTAAGGACAAGTGCCAATTGCTCGCAAAGCACTGAAATATTCCGACAAGCACCTGAACGAAAGAAACACCTTAGCTGTCAGAATACCACGGGCCGACATCCCACACGTGGGAAAAACGGGTGCAACTTGTCACGCCGCAGAACATCTTAGTAACATAACTTCCCTGGACTCAGGTTTAGACTACTACACGCAGTCAGCCCGCATTATCAATGCCACTTGCAGCCCCGGACTTAGCCGAGTGCGACGGCCCAGCGCGGGAGCACTGGCTTGGAATCAGGGCGACCTTGGCCTTGAGGTGCGTCAATGGCATCAGTCCCCATGCCTCCGAGCATCTTCGAGCAGCCAGACCCACCCTCTTGCCAACCACCGGCTTCTGGAGCGATGGAGGACTTGAGAGTGCCAATGCGACCCAAAGCGTAGATGTTCGAGGCATTCCGATTTCACTCACTAGGCAAGGACGGTGTCCAGGCCCAGGTGCTGTTTTGCTGGCAACCGGAATCTGATGCTGCCCAACATCCAACAACCAGCCGATGGCACATTTTAGTCAACTCTCTGGAGCATTGAAAAGGATCACGTGGCCACCAGCGATCCATCGATTTATTTGTCCGCCGACTTCGTGCCAGAGAAGTTGGGAGGAGCCCAGGTTGTGTTACAGCTTAGAGCAAGCCTTGGGGACACCAAGTCTGATTCCCTGAGACGGGCTGAGCGACACCTGCAAAGACTTCGTCCGAGCCATCTTGTATTGTGGCGCTGCTTGGCCTTGTCGGCAGGATCCCATCTGTCGAATGAGGATCAGAGCGTACAGAAAATGTCTTCCAGGCAGAGGCTGGCCACGATGGGCTTGAGCTCTGCACTCTGATCAATTTGTGTTTACTTTCCCAACAGGTTTTGCTTTCCAAACACCCCTGTCAGGCGCCACATGCGCTGGAAGAATGCAGAAGCTAACAGCAATTTTATGTGACTTGGCAGTGCATATCAGTGAGTGACCCTCGCTCCAACGTGACAGTTCGGCTCTTGACACGAAGTCAAGCGCATTGAAGCGGTGGGTTGCAACAAGCCACCTGCGTACGTTCAGGGACAGCCGTTCGTACACACGCGGCAACCGACTTTCACGCTAAGCTACCAGAAAATGAGCGCGAGCATTGCTCATAATTGCCTGTAGGTCAAAATCGCAGATCGGCAAGATCATGTCTGAGGCGTGGGCACGTCTTCTGGTCTCCAGCACGTCTAATTTTCAGCTCGGCCAACCGTTGTAGACTTTTCTGTTTCGCGTTGCATTTTCCTTTGACTGCACATACTGTTGATGATATAAATCCTGCATTGCCTTAAGGACCCTAAACTATGGGAATTATGGCAAATTGCTTATAATGGGTATTGCAGGATTTATATAATCAACCGTACGTCGAAGTGAGCCGAGCAGCAGTGGCAGCAGCTCTTCGGCCAGGCAAGTTGGTCAGAGCGCATGGTGAGGAGTAAATGCTTCGCTGCTGGGCCATACTTTCTGAAGCACAACTTTTAATGCCCGAAGGCTTCACGTTGACCTGCCGCCATCAGCTCGTTTGAGATGACTCAGGAGTGGTTCAGTGGCTCCTTGATCCTGCTCAACTGCATATTTATTGGATGGCATACACAGATGATGGCTTTGCGGGCTATTGAGCACACGAATCAGAACATGGATCCACAAGTGAAGCTTGCCCCGGAGAAAGGCCATGACTGCGTTTCTACTAGCGATTGTCCGAAATTTTGTAACAATGGATAGCAGGCTTAGAAGCAGGGCAGCAGGCAGTTTCAGGATCTGGGGCACCAAGCAGACATTCCGGCCCGTTGCAGTTGGCAGGCTTGATCTACTGAACTGTAGACTTGAGACAAATGTTTTCATCCAATCCCCAGGAAAAGAAGATAGATTATATCTTGAACAGAATAATGTATCAGGAATCATGAACATATGTGTGCAAGGACTAGGATATATTTGTGGGTCTTCCCGAAAATTCCCGGACATTCTGAATACAATACTTATGAAAATGAAAACAGCGCGAAACCTTTGACATTATGACAGTGTGAGGCTAACAACTGGACACCACAGGCATTTAGCTTTTCCATTTTTTTCCAGATGATTAGCTGCAGAAGATGGGGCAAGATGTGGAGTCTGTTCAGACGCGGGGGTTTGGCATGAGCCAAAGCTCACTTTCCACGATGAGGCCTGACCTCCAACCGCCCTAGCCCAGAACTTGCTTAAACTCTTCGATATTGCATCCGGATGCCTGAGGAACACTTCGACCGAGGTATTGATCATGCAGGTTCGACCGGAGCTCTAAGACTCTAAGTCCAAAGTCATGTGGCGGGGTTCTGGCGAGCCAAGACATGGAGCATGGGCAGCCTGCAAGGTTGGCTTCACCGGGTGCTTCCTGGTGGAGCTCTTCGTGCGATGGGCAGCTGAAGGTGTCATCGATTTCTTCAGGTCGGCAGACCTGGTGTGGACCCGTGGCGAAACCAATTGTTGATGACGTGTAATTATGTAGCGTAGTCGTATTATATGGGCATTTTCAGCTCCATCTACCCCTTCGTTGCTCTCGAATCTAGGTCCTAGGTCGCGGATGTACCGTGGAGGAGAAAGACCTATAGTCGCGAACCGTGACTGCTCCCAGGAATGTACTGGACGTCGTATGCGTCCTCATTGGTGTGGTGGATGCTTCAGCTGAGATTGTCATGCTTGCGACAGGGCTCGAGGAACAGACTCCTCTTCGGGGCTTTACCGTGATGAGGGTGCTGAGGGTGGTGCGAATCGTGCGCGTGGTCCGCGCAACTTGCTTCAATAGTCGTATTCTTGTCTGTTTCTGTTCTGTTTTCCGGACCGATGGAGCCATAACAACTGCATGTCGCCCAAGACCACCCACCGCACGGGCATATCACTCCTCGAACCGTTCAGTCGTTTGCCTGTCGGCTTAGACCGATGCCTGGAACGCTTGATTAAAGGCCCTTAAAATTCAAAGCACCAGTACCAATGTCCGTGCCATTCTGTGCCAACTTCGTTGCTGCCCATTGGCTGGTCAGTGTTTCTTGCACTGAAGCCGATCGTGTATCAGCTAGTCTGCAGCTCACCCCACAGGGAACATGAGACCTGGTGTGACGAAACAAGGTGATCCGGATTATGCGATTCTTCCGAGAGCTCCGCATGATGATCTTCAGCACGGTGAACTGCTTGAAGTCCGTCGTTTGGATCATCCTGTTTTTATTCGGGTTGTTCTACATGTTTGGTGTTGCCTTCACGCAAGCAGTCACAAGCTATCTCGACAACCTTGAGATGAGAAAGCTGTCCGAGTACTCTTCCTTGCAGCTCTACTTCGGCACTTTAGACAGCTCTATACTGGCTTTGTACATGGCAATGTCCGGGGGGCAGAACTGGCACGTCTACTACGACTCGCTGGCCACCATGAGCGGTGGGCAGTTCTGGTGCTTGCTGTACATTCTCTATATTACCTTTGCATTATTCGCAGTGGCAACCTGTCTTCAATAAAACGAAGCGGTGTCTCTTGAGCACGTCTTTCAAAGAATGCCTGACTTTGCTTGTCATGTGATGTCTCAACGGTTCCATCCAAGGTCAACATTGTCACCGGAGTGTTTGTAGACACCGCCCTCCAGTCGAGCAAAAACGATCGAGAAGTGGTAGTGCAGGAAGAGCTGGAGCAAAAGCAGGCTTCCTGGTCAAACCAGTTGGTGCGGGGACATATTTTCTGATTGGTGCACCGGTGGATTGAAACTTCAACAAGGGCGTCTAATCAAAACAAGACACGATTGCTTGTTAGCACGCTACACTGTTTACATGATGTCCGTTCGGCATTGTGCAAACCTTGCCTACTGCGTGACGTGCCTATGGCGTTTTCGGCGCTGCAAGAGGACTGGAAACACTGTACCTGTACAAGCATCCAAGGATTACCTGAAGCAGCTTCATCAGCTGTTCCAGGCCATCGACGAGAACTCCGAGGGTCGCATCACTCGCGAGGCAGGTCTATGGGCACACGCACTGGTGGGTGTGGATGCACCCTATCTTGCATCTATCTCACAGCTGCGCCGCTTGACGAGATCAATTTGACTTATTCCCTGCCAGGTCTTGCAGCAAGCTTTCAGGCATGACTCCAGGCTTAAAGTAAAGAAGAGTGCTTGCACAGTCTAACTCCTGATTCTCCTGCAGTGCCGGTTGTGTTGCTGAAGCTAAGGAGACCATCCTTGCATACTTCTCCCATCTGAAGATAGATGTCCCAGATGCCGCTCGACAATGATGAGCAAACAGCGCGTAGGGGGGCAGTGCGAGATTGGTGAGGATGAGAAGCCAAGGGCATAGGAAATACATCGTCGTTTGAGTTTGTGCTTGTCGAGAAATCCAGCCTGCACCCTCGGAAATTTCACTGGCTTTTGAATGCCAGTTGACAGCTAGTGCGTTCAAGACAGACAGAGGACTTGAGCATGTGGGTCACAGATTTATTCTCTTAGGCGGCCACGCTTTTCGAGCTCTTGGACTTCGATCAGTCCGGCACGATCGACTTGGAGGACACCTTTGGGCCTGTGTTCGCATGGTTCCTGCAGCAACGTCTAGCACACGGAAATATATCCAACTGCTGAGGAGTTTCTTCATGGTTGCTACCAACTCCATGGTGAGGCAACACACCTGGAAGCAAAGATGATGCAAGCAGAAGTGAGGCCAGCAGTCTGACTTGCGTCGATGCAGAGGTCCAGATGCAATTTGATGTCTGTGACCCACTGGTAAGGTTTATGAAGGAGACCTTGATCAAGCTTGTCGATGACATGCAGAAAGTGCAGGCACAGCTGAAATTTCTGAAGCGATTGCCTTAGACGCCCACAAGTGTGGCTCGGATGTTGTTCTTTAAATATCTTTTAGATTTGGCTGGAATGCCCAGCGCTTTTCAACATGCCCGTGCTCAGCGTGGAAGGGCACACTGTTTATGGTGGGTACCGCATGTACTCGTCCTGATGTCCGAGGAGCGGGGGGCATGCCGAAATTCGCCAGCAAGTTTTTTTGAAGGTGAAGTGCTACCACGACCTGGGACAAAGCATCCAAGCATTTTTGTTAGGAAAAGCACTTTGCCGCCTACTGCTACCGCTTCACTGAGTAGCTTTCGCCCGATCTGATGAACAGTTCGAGGGTAATTATGAATGGCTGAATGTTGCACAGGCGACATCAGCGCCGCGCAAGCTGCGTGCTAGGTTGCTATAGGTCTGCACGGGGGGCCTAGCCAAGCTGCCGAACCCGGCGGCCGACGCATCTCTCTCGCCATCTTTGCCCGAGAGAGAGATTGAAGGGCGAGCAAACACGCGATTCACGGAAGATGACACGAGCTCCGGCTCAACTTTGCATGACTGCAAACCCAAGCTGGGAGCAGTTGTCGCCTAGATCCACTGCGGCCGGAAGCTGACCAGCTTTGGCGCACCGAGGTTGCAGGCAGCGGCACCCGGAGAGCCTGGCGCGCACCTCGGGATTCCCTGTCAGTTAAACCCTAAAGCCTTGGAGCCTTGCCTGCCTTGTGCGACTGTGAGAGTCGAAACCCTCACGCCTGGCATTGAGATCTGAATGTCTTGGACACGTCTGCAGCCGCTGCGGTGTCTGTGCTGTGGGTTCCCTCGCCAGGACTGAGGACACGGCAAGTGCGTGAGTGTGGCAGTGGCCGAAGAGCAGGTTTGGTGCAGGGCCAAATGCAAATGGTCATGTGGATACGCCATTCACGTAAGATGAGATGGTGTGTTGATCTTGTCCTTGCACCGAGACTTTTTCTTGTGCACGTTGTGACGAATTCACTTTGCTAGTAATCTGCTAGTAGGATAGCTCTGCCGAGCCAGATGCTTCCAACAACATGTCAAGTATACCATGCACACCACAGCTGCACCTCAAGGTGCAAATGAATGATCCCTGTGCTTCAGCACCAGATCCGCCTCAAACAGCGTCTTCACTCGAAATCACTCGAACATGCAAGACTGTTGGAAGTGTCTCCTCGGACAGGTCAGGACGACTTAGCTCGCAAGTCCATGTGTTGACAGGCCGCAAGTGTACGTAGTCCATTCACGCGTTTACTGGATCCCGGTCACCCCCCCCCCCCGTGCTGGACAGTACA